GGGGGGGGGGAGATGGAGCTCAGTAATAGGGCATGCTTTAGCATGGGGGGAAAAAAGGGAAACAATGCCTTTATTGAGGTAATTATTATCTTGTATTGAAATACTATCATCTTGTAGTTCACCCTTTCCAAGTTTACAATTTAATGGTTTTTAGTAAATCTGCCAAGTTGTGCAACCAGCATCATGAATCAGTTTTAAAGCATTTTCATCAAGCCAGCAGTTCCCTTACACCCATTTACTGGTAATCCTCGTCCTCTCCTCTCCAATCCCAGGAACCACTAATCTGCTCCATCTGCCTTTTGGACATTTCATATAAATGGAATCATACAATAAGGACTCCTGTATCTGGCTTTTCTCATTTTGTTCATTCATACTGTTGCATGACTATAGTTAATTTCTCTTTGTTATGAAAGTATTCCATCACATACCAATTCTGCATATCCATGCACCTACTAAAAAGATATTTAGGTGTTTCCAATTTTCAGTTATTAGGAATAATGCTGCTAAAACCATCAGCTTGCAAATTTGTGTGGATTGGTGTTTTCCCTTCTCTTGAATAAATACCTTAGAATGAAATTGCTGAGTTATATGGCAAATTTATGTGTAACATTTTTGTTTGTTTTCCTTTTTCATGGTGCTGGGAGCCAAACTCAGGGTCTTGCCCAGGCTAGACAAGTGCTTGACCACTGAGCCATCCCTTAAATTTTTAAGAAACTGCTAAATTGTTTTCAAAAATGGAAGCACCATTTTATATTTCCACCAGCAATGTAGTATGAGAGTTTACATTTTTCCATATCCTCTCCAACATTTGTTACTATCTTTTATATAATACCCATTCTAGAGAGTTATGAAATGGCAATTCAATATAGTAGTACCATGTAAAGGAGGAGAAAGGGGGATGGGGAAACTCTAAAAAATGCATAACTATAACCCGAGTTGAGTCCTCACTATTCACCCAGAATCCTACTTTTTCTGATCTACTTATTTTCCAACACTCCACAACAGTTATTTCCTATCTTCATTCACTCTCCTTAAAACAGTCTCTACTTACCTTCTATAGGAACTAGAGTGYTTCCTATCTCTTAGATTAACAGAAACCAATAGTTCCTACTTGGGCTTCCTCCTATATACCCACAAATCTTGCTGTCTGTGGATTTACCCTTTCCCCAGTTAAGAAGGGAGATACAGAAATCCTCCTATTAAATGCCAACTTCTCTCTAGAAGCTCTGCATCCCATTTCCACTGACCATTTTAAGACCACAGTCGTCAATCATCACCTTCTCTTTTTGCCATTTACTGTTTAACTGGATTCTTCCCATCAAGATTTATAGTCTGTAGCCCTAGTTTAACAAAAAGATTCCAGAAATGCCATCTTCAAATTTTGAACCAAGTTTTTTGAAAGAATTATCCATATTCCCAAGTGTACTGTTCTACCTTCCATTCATTCCTCAGCCCACATCAATCTGATTTACATCCTTAAAACACCAACAAAGGAGGGTCTCAGTAGAGTCCTAATATCCTTTCCACAATATTCAACAAGGCTAACAATTTCCTCCTTAAAGTGGACTTTTTCTACTGGCTTCTACAACACCCTTCTTTGAAGACCATTTTTACATGTCTCATCTTACATTTCTGCATGACTTGCAAATAGAGGCAATAACTGCCTTTGTTTCAGACTGTATTCTCAAAGTTTTCTGCAGTGATTAACTTCAGAAGATAATGTCTCCCTCTGCAGCAAAGGGCAGATAAGATTACTGTCCATTATAAAATATTTGGGTTCCCTAAGTCACAGTTCCTTTTCTGTAACCACTGCATGTATACGTGTTGCCTGGCTGTCTTCAACATCACCCTGGGAGCAGTGTGAAGAAGAGGAGGCGAGAACGACCCCCGGACCGACCAAAGCTGCGCGCCACTGCATCCCCGTGTCCAGCGCCTGCGTCCTGCTGCCGTCGCCACCATGCCCAAGAGAAAGGCTGAAGGGGATGCTAAAGAAGATAAAGCCAAGGTGAAAGACGAACCACAGAGAAGATCTGCAAGGTTGTCTGCCAAACCTGCTCCTCCAAAGCCAGAGCCCAAGCCTAAAAAGGCCCCTGCAAAGAGGGGAGAGAAGGCACCCAAAGGGAAAAAGGAAAAAGCTGATACTGGCAAGGATGGGAATAACCCTGCAGAAAATGGAGATGCCAAAACAGACCAGGCACAGAAAGCTGAAGGTGCTGGAGATGCCAAGTGAAGTGTGTGCGTTTTTGATAACTGTGTACTTCTGGTGACTGTACAGTTTGAAATACTATTTTTTATCAAGTTTTATAAAAATGCAGAATTTTGTTTTACTTTTTTTTTTTTTTTAAGCTATGTTGTTAGCACACAGAACACTTCATTGTTGATTTGGGGGGGRATGAGCATATGTCACTAGTAGAATGTCTCCAAAGCTGGATTGCTGTGGGGGAAAACACCTTTCCCTTCTTGTTTTGAGAGACTTCCTCTTTGTTCCCAAGAGGAAGGGATTCCCTGATGTTGGCACACATAGCCACCTTGGCACAAATGCCTTGTGCTATGGAAAAACTCAAACTCATCTGTATGTCCTCCTGTCCCTCGCTGCCATTGTCATAGACTTAATTCCCCTAAACTCAGACCTATTAGAACCTGATTCCCAACGACTGGTGTGTGTGGGGGGCAATCTGGACTTTCCAGTGACGTCATTGAGAATAGTGTCCCTCAGAAGAGCAGCAGTTTCTTTTCTAGATTGTGGATCTTCAGATTAATAATTTTTGCCATTTTCCTTTCATTTCCTGAAAGTCAGGGTTGGCTTAYGAAAAGTTGTTAAACAACATGCTAACAGGTTTTTATAAGCATAGGCTTTGAAATCACAGATTTTTGTTCATGTTTCTCTGCTACCATATAAAAGTGGCAAAAGCCTTCAAGAAATAGTGTTATCGTTTAGAGTTCAAACTGAGACCTTGGCCATGTGGATAAGAGAACTGACAGAACTGGATACAGTAAATACTCATTAAATTCTAGCAGTTTTATTACTGCTACTAAGCTGGGAAACAGAATGGTATTGAGGGGAAAAGTGTTGGTCTTGAAATCAAAAGGTTTCCTCTCTTAGAAGAAATCACTCATGGAAAATATAGGTTATTAAAAACTGAGCCAAGTGCGGTGCCACACACCTGTAATCCCAGCAGCTCACGAGGCTGAGGCAGGAGGATCATGAGTTCAAAGCCAGCCTCAGCAAAAGCAAATGGCTAAGCAACTCAGTGAGGACTCTGTCTCTAAATCAAATACAAAATAGGGCTGGGGATGTGGTTCAGAAGTAGGGTGCACTCCTAGAATGCATGAGGCCCTGGGTTCAATTCACCAATAGCAACAATAAAAGCAGCAAGGGCTAGGAAGTAGGCTTTTGGAGGAAGTCGGAAACACTCAAAAGACTGGAGTCATGCTCTGCACCTGCCAAAGGCCTTCAAGAAATAGTGGTATCTTTTAGAGTTCAGACTGAGAAAGGCTGGTGGCTAGGACAAGAACTAGATGGAATAGGCATAGGATAAACCTAGAAAACCTTATTCAAGGTCAAGGTCCAGAAGAAAAGATGAGAAAACTGTTAGAAAGTCTTGTAGTCCAACCAGACCCTGGCAGCAGTGTTAGCTCACTCCTTTGTCTGACTAGAATCAAAGTACTGTTTCTAAGTTGAACTGGGCAAGATGGATTGACTTCCAATAAGCTCTGAAACTGGTGTCTCTGTGTGTTTAATATATTACCAGTGATAGTTTAAGAAGGTAGTAACAGATTTCATGCTTAAGAGTTTTTGCTTACTAAGGCTTATAAAACAAGAAAAGTAATCTCACTTTATTGATGAAGGTGCAGAAACACATTCTCTTCTCATTCATTACTGATGACATACAAACCAGCATCACTAAATAACACAACAGATATACACCCTAGTGCCTCTTCAAACTGCTGTTGTGAAAGGGACAGTCCTCAGTGTCCTGTCGTCTGTCTCCTTGGCTACCACTGAAGTAAAAGCCAATACCACGGCAGGTCAATAACCAAAAGCCTCATATGAAACGTCATACACTAGACAACTAGATTCATCTCTCATGATTTGTAATGAGGATAGACTGAATCAGAAAGATGTTAAGAGCTAAGGTCCAATGAGAAACTCATTTGGAGCCTTGGCAGAGGGCAGAAATCTAAAGTCCCTGCGAGAAAAAATAAAGAGTTAACTCAATTCTGGTCCTTTCTTAAGATAGCCACTTTCATTGGCCTGGGAGGTCTGTATCATCACAATCATTCTTCACTTGAGTTAGTGGGTATCTCTTCTTCACAATCAAAAAGCAGACAAGACTCTTGGGCAAAATATGCTATGGTGAGTGTATGGCTGTACATGATATGTAGAATACTGTTAGGAAAAGGTAATCCTTAGAAAGTTACATACTATGTAAACACATTATAATTAAATTGTTTCATTGCTTAACCAACCCACAGCCCTTTCTAGAGCCCAACAGAAAAGATCAGAAAACAGGACTTGTGTCCCTTCCAACTAGCGTTGGACCACAACAGAAACCAACCAAATCTAATCAATATAGGTTAAAACAACAGGCAAAAATGACACCTACAGGTACATTCTTAACTGGTTGATAAACTAGTCATAACGAAGAATGAATGGTCAGGAGTGGTTATACTGGGAATTAATATCAAAGTAAGTAAAGTGAGCTATGGAGACAGAAGATTAGGGTAGAAGTAAAAGACACAGGGATAAAGACACCAGATAGCCTTCAAGTGACAAACAGAACAATAGCCTCTGGCTCAGAAATTCTGATCCCGAAGAAGCCTGTTTTCTTTTGTTGTCTTTGGATGTCTGGAAACTGCAGCATCTTTTTTACTTGAGTGTTTGCTTCTTATAGTCCAGGGTAAAGACTGGAATAGAAAGTATTGTAAAGGCAAAAAATAAAAGTGTGATGGGGGATGGAAGGAAGAGCACACTTCTAACTAACAATCCTATATCTTCTATATAATAAACTTGCCCCCCAAAATAAAAATATTAGGGGATGAGGATATGTGCATGTACATCACACTATTGTTTATATGCGTGCGCGCACACACACACACACACACACACASAGACATATATTAGTCTTATTTATAGAGAAAAGTTGGTAACAATCTCAACATTCAAAATTCTGTTAACCTAATCATGATGTATTCATAATGGCAAGATTATGCAGCCATTAGAAGCTATAGAGAAGCACAGATATCCTCTTCTACCTGAACCATGCGCCCTGACTCAGAAACCAAATAGAGAGRGCATGGGATAGTTGTTTTCAATAACCTGGAAAGATGTTTGTGATGTTAGGCTTTAAAAAAAAAGTTACAATATATACTGTATTTTCATTAAAAGTAGCGCTTAAATATATTTGTATATACACACTTTCCATTCTGTCTGTAATGTTCACTTCTGTTTGTGACTCTTATAAGCAATAAAAACTCGAAAATATTAAATGCAGATTTTCAAAGATTACAGGGTATGATATGGATGCCAAGTCCTGACTCTATTTTAGGACTGAGGGGTATTGTGATTAAGAAAGCAAGCAGTCGGGAAGGAAAAAAGAAAGGGTAAATGAGATGACCTGAGATTATGAAGGAGGGGACATGGGGCTTTATACCAGCTAAAAGTCTTACTGCCCAGTAACAGTCACTCTCTAAAATTAACATTTTATTCTAGCCAATCTCTCCAATGTCTTCCCCCTAACATATTCACTCATTTTCCCATAATGCATTCATTCTAATTCTCTATGGCTGACATCCTTCATCATGCCTTTGTTCAATAGCAATTCCATTCTCAGTTCCTTCAAAAAGCAGACTATTCTAGACAACAGGGATTGCTCCCTGCCTTGAAAATAGGAACACTGTCAAATTCAGGGGTCTACCTAAGAGTCATTCAAAAATCTCTACACTTCTAGTTATGCACTAGAGTGCCAAATAGGCAGCTCCAAGAGCATAAAAAAAGCACTTACCTATGAGGGAAATCACACAAGATTAAAATGTAATGAATRTCTATGACGTGTCCCCTTCCATACCTTAAATATAAATCTAGGAGGCAAAAGAATAAAATGGCAGCACAAAAAGCAGAAATCAAATGATTTGTGTTGCATTTTGTCTAAAGACAGATTAAAAAAGGGCAAYTGGGGGCTGGAGTCATAGCACAAGTGGTAGAGCACTTGCCTAGTATGTGTGAGGCATTGAGTTCAATTCTCAGCACCACATATAAATAAATGAAATAAAGGTCCACTGACAACTAAAAACATATTTTTAAAGAAATTAATTTTAAAAAGAAAAGGAAAAAAAAGGGCAGTCAGGTGGTGCTTACTATAATTCCAGCAATTTGGGAGGCTGAGGGCTGAGGAAGGATGATGGTAAGTTCAAGGCCAGCCTAATCAACTTAGCAAGAGACCCTGTCTCAAAACTAAGAGGCTTCGAGTACAGCTCAGTAGCAGAGCATCCCTGGATCCAATCCCCAGTTCTGGGGGTGGGGGTTGGGGATAAAAAAAGGAATTATGTTAGTGAGGCAAATAATACCTCACTTACCACTCATTCTTGACCACTTCTCCCTTTCTGAATCATAAAAGTATAAGCTAAAACACTCTACCACTCACTGTGTGTACACATATATATTTGGCAATACTGGGGATTAAACCCAGGGCCTTGCACATGCTAGGCAAGTAYTCTCTACCAMTGAGGTACATCCCCCACTCCAATTCAGCTTTCTTGAAGCTAAGAGTGGTCACTGACATTTTGGTGAAACAGATAAAAGCCCCTGAGGAGGGATTTCCTTTCTATTTTGCCATTCCAGGTGCCTGGAATATGAACATAATGTCTGGAGGTTGGAGGTGCAACAGCTATTCTGTAACCAAAAAATGACAGGAAAATGGAAAGTAGAACCCTAGATCCTTGCAGGGAACATACTACACAGTCCAATCTGCCCATCTCCAGACTTCTGGTATGTCAGGAAAACTCCTATTTGGTTTTTTTTTTTGGCTTTCTCCTTCCTTTTTTTTTTTTTTTTTTTCCCCACTAGCAATTGAACCTAGGGGCACTTTACCACTTAAGACAAACTGGCTTGGAATCCTCCCACCTCAGCCTCCCAAGTTGCTGGGATTATAGACATGCGCCAACACACCTGGCACAAACTCCTATTTGTTAATGTCACTTGCACTGCAGGTTTTCATTTCTGTGAAGCTGTGGGCATTCCTACATGGAACTTAGAACAGTGGTTCTCAACTATCTTTCTTCCTCAACAAATATGAGGACAGAAAACATACCCTTTACTAAGTTACTCATTATAGCTCTGATTCTCAAYTTGGCAGACATCAGAAGGTGAAAAAGGGCAGAGAACACGGTGACCCTGAATCTTGGTGACTACCAAAGCAGTATCTTCCTATTATAAGCACATGTCTGTGAAACCAATCTGGTCCCTCTAAACAAGCAATAAGGATTTTTTGTGCTGATGCTAAGCAAAAGACTTCTCACCCAGAAGCTGTTTTTTTTTTCCAAAGTCAATTCTTCTTTCAAATTTTATTTCCTCTAAGTAATGACTAAGAAATCACTTAAGTAACTATTAATAAACCTCTGCTAACAACTACTCTACAAAAAAAAACTGGGTACTGATTTCACAGAAATAAAAACCAAGTTTGCTTCAGAAGCATTTATATTATATTTATCATGGTTATAATAAAAACTCTGGTAACTCTGGGATTACATTATATATAGATGGCTCATGTACAATTATATACAGGTGCCCATGAGAGAACATTTCCCACAAGAGACCATTTAATATTTATCTTACTAATCAATCCCTTTCAGTGCATTTTACTATTGTTTTTTATTCCCTACATTTGAGAAATACAGGCTATCTTCAAGTGGGCACATTTCCACAAACCAGCCACAGAAATTATTCCTACTAAATTTTAAAGGCACTTTTATATATATTCTATTATGCTGTAAAATTTGGATTAAAAAAAATTTCCAGACAAGAATCACTAGATATTTTTGAGAAGAAGATAAAAGACCTTTCCCGTGTAAAATAATTAGGGTTTTTCAAAACTGATGTAGGCTRGATGCTCTGGTGCACACCTGTAATTCCAGCAACTCAGAAGACTGAGGCAGGAGGGTCACAATTTCAAGGCCAACCTCAGTAACTTAGGGATACCCTGACTCAAAATAAAAAATACTGGAGTCAGTGGTAAAGTGCTCATGTTCAATCCCTGGTACTACAAAAAACAAACTAAGCTAATGCAAAGTCTTCATCAGTAAAGGAAAAAAATACATGTAAGTGAAAGACACAAGGCACTAAGAAAACAACCAACCTCTCTTAACATATCAATATAAGCTACTGCAACTACATATATAAAGTAATTGCTTTCATTTGGGTGAACTATTTATTTTTAAAAGGCAATCTAATTCTAAAACAGGGATTTTCTAAGATATGCTAAAATATCTAAATCTTCTCATAATGCACAAAAAAGTACTGCACATGGAAGTCTAGAATATTTAAGTTTATCAAAATCTACAGGAAAAACACAAGAATAATCCTCCTTATTAAACAAGAGGGGATGGGCTAGGGATATAGCTCAGTCGGTAGAGTGCTTGCCTCACATGCACAAAGCCCTGGGTTTAATCCCCAGCACCCCCCCCCCAAAAAAAAAAACCAAGAGGGGAATAAACAAGATTAAAGAAAATCTCACTCCAAAACTGACTGTGATAGGTTTCACATTCATCATCGCATGCATATTTCACTGAAAAGTTCAAAAATAAGGATACAGTAGCACATGCCTATTAATTCCAGCAACTTGGGATGCCAGGGCAGGACAGAGGATTTCAAGTTCAAGGCCAGCCTCAGCAACTTAGTGAGGCACTAAGCAACTCTGTGAGACCCTATCTCAAAATAAAATTTTAAAAAGGGCTAGAGATGTGGCTCAGTGGTTAAACACCCCTGAGTTCAATCCCTGGTACCAAAAAAATAAAAATAAATATATATATATATATTTTTCACAAATAATAATCACTCTTTCAATGGGTTTTCCCTTCACTGGCTTGGCTGAAAGTCAATAAACTCAAGACTTCCACCCACTGAGAGATAAGCCAAGTTCATTCTTCTGAGATGCCAGTGAAAGGTTTGACCCCTGATGAAGAGTATGTATATGTCTACCAAGTGTTGATGTACAGGTCAGAACAAAACTATTTCCATACTGGAGAATAACTCAAATTCRTGGGTTCAGTTGATGATTCCTATTGAAAGGATGGCATAAAGAATAACTGGAGGAGCTGTTCACTTGAGAAAGTAAAATATATATTTAATCACTACAGAACATTAATAGGTTTACTAAGTTAAAAAAAAAAAAAAGTTCCTTAGAGTTTCCTTAGAGAAAAATTTTATCACTTTTTTAAACGAGAAAATAAGGTATAAGCTTGTATCACCGCCAAACAAAAGTTGTTCCAAGAGGAATTTTTAAAAGATATAAATATGTGTAGGTATAGCTGTTTCAACATGGTGGAAATAAATTTAAAATTTTTCAGCTCAGCTTGACAAATGCACTTTAATTATTAGAAATTAAATAAACCAGAAAAAATGTAAGTCAACATTACCATACTTGGTGCCTCCAAGTTTAGGTACATTGAAGAACTTCTTACTTGAATTGTCATTTAATGTTTCAATAAGGTACTCAAAGGCATATCCTGGGGGAGATAAAAAACTTTCATTAAAAATAGCTACAAAGTAAAATTACCTGGATATTAGTTTTGCCCAACAGAATCTTCTGCATTGTTCAATAAGGCAGTTATTAGCCACAGGTGGCTACCACTCACTTGAAATGTGGCTACAGAAGCTGAGAAAATGGAATTTTTAACTTTTAAGTCACACATGGCTAATGTCCACCATACTGGACAGTATAATTTTAAACCATGACTCTTTTTCAAGCAAAATCTGGTAAGACAATTCACTCCTAAAATGTGTTTGAGAATGCCTGGAAAGAATAAGAATGACTTACCCGGTTTATAGGCACGTTTTAGAAAGACATGTCCTAAAAATTGTGTAAATTCAAGATAGAACAATTTGAGAACACAACTGTTAGAATTATTTTTTAAAAACTTAAAGATTTTTTATTGCACATTCAACAACAGACAAAACCAAAACAACAACAAAAAAAACTTCTCATAAGACATTCTAGGTCTTAAGGATTAAGATAAAACTGAACAACAAAACACTGAGGTAAACTAGCATATTCTCCCTAACGGTCCTTCTGGTTTGGCTGCAATTTAAGCTGAACCTCATGGTCAAAGACCTATAAACCTCACTGGTATACGCCCCAGGTCCAAATGTTCTCCAGGGAAGTGGCCTTGAGGTTGAAAAGAACCTTTAGATCTTTTTATGAAGACACTGCAGTGGGTGGGTAGGACCCTCAACACAGTTAGGGCCACCGTCCAAAATGAAGAGAGATAAGCACAACCCACTTTCAGGATGGCTCGTGTTTTCCTCTTTTTGTACAGGGAGGTGGACGTGGGAGGAGACTCATAGCTGCAATCAATGATCAGAAAACAGGATGACTACGGTTCAGCCTTCACTGCCCCTCATTCTGCTTCCAGAGACAAGAGGAAAGAGCTCGAGGCTGGGCAGTGGGCTAGACAACAAGATAGGTGGACCCAAACAAGGAGACAAGGACCCCAAGCCCCATTTCTCACAAGTGGGGGGCGGGTAGGGGAAGATGGTGGGCCTCTCTCTCCCTGCACCTAGTGTCACTAACTAGGGCTAGGAGGCCGCAGGCACAAAGCGGCGACCACCAGGATGAGGTAGGTGCGGGTCACAGCCGGAGGCAAGGCCTATGGCCCGACAGAAAACCCGCTAGGAGAGTGGGGGCGGGGAGGCCTGCCTTCCGCGGCCTCCGCGCAGAGTGCGGCCCAGCAGACAGGCCCCGAGGGGAGCACGAACTGAGAGCCCTGAGGGCTCCGGGCGCCGGCCGGGCGACTGTAGGCGAGAGAATCAAGGAACACGGCGCCCGGGCAGCGCGTGTCTCCAGCAGCTAGACCCAAGTCGGCGGCCCGAAACTGACCTGCACTTGGGGCGTCCATCGCCGGAGACCATATTATCCCTGCGGGGAGGGGGCCGGCGGGGRAAGGAAGGGGAGGCCGGGCCGGGAAGAGGGGGAGGAAGACAGGCGGACTGGCAAGGGAGGAAGGAAGGAAGCAGTCTCGCGCAAACACCGCGAGAGCCGCAGAGCTGGCCCCGGGTCGGCGCTCGCGGGATTTGCCGCTTTACTCCCGCGAGATCTTCAGCCTGGAAACAAAGAGAAAGGCTGGAGCTTAGCCCGTAGGAGACTTCTTGCGCCGTCGCCGCTGTTCTCGCGAGTGGGGGCGGAGCTCTGGTAGGCAGTACCGTAGGCGTCTGTAGCTGCGCCGGGGTTACCTAGTGTGGCCTTGAGGGTTCGTTGGTGGGTTCTGAAGTCGAGTGGCTTGTGGCTTCCTAAGGGGTGTCTTTGGCAGTGGCTAATGGAAATCGGAACTCCTGGGGAAACAGCGTAAAGAGAACCACTTAACATTAAACACTTAACATTAAACAGTAATATGAAGATGGCCAGACTGATCCGGCACATAGGAGGCGCTCATATTAAATGAATTTTTCCTTACGTTCCTGTAGCGTCAACCTCTTCCTTTCCGCCGACTCCAGCAGCGGTGGATYCTTCTAGTCTACCCGTCGATCCCAGCTCTTATAATCCCTGCATTTTACCCTACCTATCTCCTTATCTCCCCGTGGTAGCCAGCTTCCCAGAAAGCCTTGCCTATACTTGCCCTTCTCCCACTCTATCCCTCTCCAATCTGGCTTTCACTGCCAGAAATGTTTTTGCTCAAGGTCAGTAGTAACTTGASTTGTTAATCTCATTTCTTAATCCTTATTCTACCTTCATTGAAACATGCGTTTTCATCAGTTTCTGTGACTCCAGGCTTTTTTCTCTTCTTTTTCTTACCCATAAAAGTGCTTCGTCTTAGTCCTCTTTGCAGGCCCCATCTTTGGCCCATCCATTAAATATAGTGGACCTTAAATAACTCAGGGCTCCTCCCTTGCTCCTTCTCTCACTTCATTTTCCCTGGCCTATCTCATTCCCCCTTTCACTTCAATTTATATTAATATGTTGATGCTTCGTAGCCTACCTGTAACAACCCCATCTCCTAATCCAGAGGTACTTGCAACTGTTGGGTACTTCCAACATTCCACAGGCATCTGGATGCAAAATCTCCAAAACAGAACTCCTCATTTCCCCCTAAAATTCATTATTTCTTTTGTATTGTTGTATCTTTTGCATTGCTATCCACCCAGTTGCCCAGGCCAGAAACTGGCACATTAACCTGGACACCTTCACACTTTTCCTTTAATCATTGACCCACGTGCTGTCAACCAAGCCCCAGTTTCCTCTATTTATTCACGTTTCTAGAGAGTTCCCTTGCTACCCACTCACGTCTAGACAGCTGTGACAATCTTCTCCTCAAAAGACCGTAGCACATTAGTACTCATAATCTCCATTTTCATGATAGACTAAACCTCAGAAGGGATTAAAGGTAATCCTGCAAACTAATTTACCGTATCCAACTCAGCTACCAAGTGACTGACTATAAAAATAGGAACTCAATTCAAATGGATATACAAGGTCACATGCTTAACTTGGACTTTTGTGATCTGGTATGTCATGCCTATTGTTCATACCTTACACCCTGAACACCTGAACACCCTTACACCTTCAACCCTGAACACCTTAAGGCAGAGTGATCTCTATCCCCTCTGGAACACCTTATTTACTGTTCCCTCTTGGAACATTCTGCTGTGCACTATTGGACTAACCCCTACTCATTCTTAAGAAGTTCACGCTCAGTCCATTTATTCCTATAGGAAATCTTCACTAACTACCACCCAGTCTGATCTGGGAACATGATAAAATGCTTCCCTAGCATTCTTTATTAAAGCACTTAATTGTACTTGATTGTAATTGCCCATTTATTGTATTGCCCATGTCTCAAGTGCTTTTAGCTGCATACAAGAGAGTACCCAACTAACAGTGTCTTAAACAACACAGACCTATAATTATCTCACTTAAGGAAGTCCACAATAGGCAGTTTCATAATTGGTACTGAATAGATATTTGGGGAACTATTTATAGAGAAGTATACTGAGCCTTGAGGGAAGCACCATAAACCTGGCATGTGCCAAATCTTCAGCATCACGTGTAAATAAATAAAAAATAAAGGTACATCAACAACTAAAATAAAATATTTTAAAAAAACACCTAGGTTCATGCCTTACGTTGGACCTATGCAGTTGGTTTTTGTTCCTCAGGCTGTGTTCCTCATCTCATAGTTGCAAGATGACTATAGCAGAATGTCATCCTTCCAAAAGCAGGAAATAAGTGATACAGAAGCCCTCTTTTTATCAAAAACATTTTTTTCCTCAAGATCTTAAACAGATTTCTCATTGACCAGAAATTAGACTGGTATATCTCCACCTTATTAAACCAACACCTCTTCTTTATGACAAATATTTTGTAATGTCCCTTTTACTATCTGGCATGAAATTCACAAGTAATATAGTCTACACACAACAATAAAATAACCAATGCCTTAAATGCAATATAAAGGAGAAGAAAAGGAAAGTAATTTATTAGAAAATAATATATATCATGTAGATGCATAGGTATGTCTGTGTTAGATGACATAAAGGAGTATGTATACTTATAATGAATGAATGTGGACTTACAGAATATAATATTCAACTGAATATAGTCAACATTTTTGTTTACATTTGACATTTCAAAATAAAGAATGTATACATTATAGCATGCACAATTAGTTATTAAGAATGCATAATGTATGTATATATAGTATATGTACATACAAACCATCAATAGCCAGCTTACATGGAGACTAATAAAAAATGTTGTATTTATAAAAATATTGGAAGTGTTGTAGCTGTGAATGTAATTTTTCTAAAATAGTGAATAACTCTTGGTAGTGTTATAGAACAAAATAAGCTGGGAGCTGTGGCACACACCTGTAATCCCAGCGGCAAAGGAGGCTGAGGCAGGAGGATCATGAGTTCAAAGCCAGCTTCATCAACGTAGTGAAACCCTGTCTCAAAAATAAGAAAGGGCTGGGTGATTTAATGCATTCCATTATTGTCATGTATATAAGAAATAAAAATAAATAAATAAGAAAGAAAGGGCTGGGGATATGGCTCAGTGGTTAAGCTCCTCTGGGTTCAATCCCTGGTACCAAAACAAACAAACAAAAAACCCAGAAGAAAATAAAATACAACCTTCTCACTTTTTCCAGAGTAGTTGTATCTATCTMTGGAAAATTATTAAAACCACAAACAAGTAGTTTAGTTTTTATTTGTAAATGGGGTTAAGTTTTAGTCTCATATAAACAATTCTGTTGTTTTTTATATGTTTATGTGTGTGTTTACCTACCTGAATATCTGACAGATGTTCAATGGGGGATCTTGTCTGTTTCTTTGCTGTACAATTTCTGTCTTATAAAATACAGACAATCTAATAACAATCATTAAATGCCAAAAATGTCCTCACGATGTCAACCAAAATCACCCTACCATTTTCCCCAAGTCCTGCTTACATTGAGAAACACTGAAACTTAGATCAATTATGATATGTCCCCTGTGGCTGGACTCATTGCTTGCATAAAAAAATGTATTGAGATTTAATTCTTATTTTAACTGAGAGTGAATACTCAAAACTTCACCCAAATTACTCATTTCTTAAAATCATTTTTTCTTAATTGAATCTGTTTATCTGAAGAAAACCAACACATTGAACAAGTTATAATATATAGTCCCTGGCTTACATGGAATTATGACTGCTTTCAACAATTACTGGAGTCTGTTTTCAAAAAAAGTCTAAACTGCATTTGATTATGTAACAAACTGAAGACAACCACAAAATTGGCATTTTTAAAGTAGTCCATATACCCAGTACTAAAGGTAATCCTGCAAACTAACTTATYTTTTCTAACTCTTCCCTAAGTAATTCCATCAACATTTTTGTTTACATTTGACATTTCAAAATAAAGACAATACATACATTATAGCATGCACAATTAGTTATTAAGAATGCAAATGTATGTATATATAGTATATGTACATACAAGCAGTATAGCAAAACATTAAAAGTTCCCAGTACTCATCCTAAGAATTAGGCATTCTTCTTTGATTTTTTTCTTCTCTGTTTCTTCCTTTCCCTTTTCTGTTTAAGTTACTTGTAATTAAATTTCTTTAACACTAAACATTGATTTCTTATTATAGCCAGTTCAATGTTTTTTTTCCACCAGACTGGACAACTTTTAGCAAAACTCTTATTGCTAATTTGATAACTTCATTGTCATCTCCTATAGCATCTTCTGTGTGATTGTTTTCTAGAAATTCTGGGACCGTTTTAGCACTTGGGCCTATTGCATTTACTTTCTATGCATTGTAAGTACCAGAGGGATCTGTCTGATATAATCTTAGGAATACCATCATTATCAAAACCTACAATTAAGGCAGAGATATTAAAAGGCTTTTTTCTATTGGTCTGAGTATATTTCTGCTTTAAAGTTGCTATGAAGTGAGTTATATATTATTCTACAGTGACAGGGTCCTCAATTGTAAGCTTATGGCTCTGGCACTCAACCCAGGCTCTGTTTATTACAACTCTACCATCAGCAGTCAGTCCTCCAAAAACCATGCAGATGTGATCATCAAGCGCACAAATTTTCCTCACAGTTCTTTTAAGCTGGGCAACATTTTTTTTTTCCTACTCCAAGCACATCTATATTGGTGCTTTGAATTCCAACCACAGTGGATTATTTCTTCAGTGCTTCCTGGGCATATTCCATCTGGAAAAGTTGTCCATCTGGAGAGAAGACAGTGATTGCCTTGTTGTACTGAGATACCATCCATAGGACCAATATTCCAGCGAGCCTAAGATTCTACTGGAGCTGAAGCTGGCTGGGAATAGCTTATACTACCATATGCTAACACCCAGAAACCTTAATTCTTATACCATAAAATTCACCCGATTTAATCCTATTTATTTTGTAATACTTGCATGCAGTTTATGAAATAATAAAGGCCCCATATATTCACCACCCAGTTTTCCTTTGTGTAACATAGTACAACATCCAAA